ATAAATAAATAAATAAATAAATAAATAAATAAATAAATAAATAAATAAATAAATAAATAGAGAAAGAGAGAAAGAGAGAAAGAGAGAAAGAGAGAAAGAGAGAAAGAGAGAAAGAGAGAAAGAGAGAAAGAGAGAAAGAGAGAAAAAGAAAGAAAGGGTCTTATTATGTAGCCCTAGCTGGCCTGGAACTTGCCATGGAGACCAGGCTGGCCTGAACCTTACGGAGATGGACCTGCTTTGCCTCTGAGCCACACCCAGCTCAACTGCTACCACTCTGATTTGGTTTGAAGGATTCCCTTTCCAATTTCTTAAAGTGGAAACTGGAGACAAATTCTTTCAGGTCCTGTTTATCTAAAAACATTTTTTTCTTCATTCCTGAAAGACATTTTTGCCACAGACTCTTACAGTGATGAGCTTTTCTTAATACCCTGACATTCTGATTTCCTTTTCTAATGACAAACTGAGTGTCATCCTTACCTCTTCTCTGTCACTGACCCTGCCTCTTGAGGCTCTCAGGATCTCCTTTTCTCAATGAGCTATTATTACTCCAAGGTTGAACTTTGAGGTGCTGCAAGTCAAGCTTCTTGTGCCTGGAGTTTCTGGAGGCTCCTGGATCTGTGAACCGTGGTTTTCGACCACCCCGAGATTATATGGCAATGAGCTCACTGCTCCGGCTGTCTGGAGGCCAGTGTCACTGTCTGGCCAGGGGTGGTTACAGGAGCAGCAATGGCAGCTCTGCTGTCAGTTCAGCAAGGCCCTCCCTGCACTCATCTGGGCGTTTCTTCGTCTTCACGCCCACTACCCCCTCTGCAGTATCTAATCGCTGACAGTGCCATCCAGTGCATTACTTCACTTCATCGCTGTAACTTTGATTCGCGGGCTGGAGAGATGGCTCGGTGGTTAAGAGCACTGACTGCTCTTACGGGATCTGGGTTCGGTTCCCAGCAGCCACTAAGCAGCTAACAACTGCCCGCAACTACCAACCCCCTCTTCTGACTTTTGTGGGCACCAGCCATGCACATGGTGCACAAACACACTGCAAGCAAACACTTACCACACAAAATAATCTGGAAACCAAAACCAAAACCAAACCCACCTGATCTGGGTCTTTAGTCACCCTTTTTTTGTATCTGAAGACTCCAGTTACGTCTGGTTTACTCTCAGCACGGGTTACGCCTTCTTTGTCTTTTTGCTGACACTGTGCATTTTTACCTTGTCTGAACACTTGTTTCTCATTTTGTGGTGCTTTAGATCAAACTTAGGGCGTTGTGTAAGTGAGACAAATGCTCTACCACTGAGCTCCACCTGCTCTCTCCACTGCTCCAAGATGTTTTCACTCACTTGGCTGCTTACTATTTTCATGTCCTAACTATCTGTCTGCTTTCTCACTTGGTCAGGCCTTGCTCTGGTACTTATGGAGTGATGTGGAGCAGCACTCAGTCTGGGTG